GTGCCTCTAACGTACAAGGCTCGCCACGTTGATGAAGGTGAGTGCGAGCTGCCCCCATCCCCGTATGCCATAACAGCCCACTTGCACGCTATGAAGAGGTGTTTAACACAATATCTGGGTTGCACGGCGTACGTGTACGCGGGTTGCACGTACACACGTACACGTATTCCTGTACGCGACATGTACGCGCGTACACGTACTCCCATACGTGGGAATGCGTAAAAAAAATAAAATAAAATAAAATAAAATAAATCATCGGAAAAATCTGAATAAAAAAAGTATCTTATGCAAAATGATATTTCAAACAACTTTTGCCTGAGACTCGTCGTCAAATTCTGCACGAAACTCGAGTGAAAAATCAAAGACAAAAAAAAAACAAATAAATTGAAATAAGAAATTTTAAAAATTAGGAAATTAAAAAAAAAAACAGAACAATATAAAAACAAACTTCTGTAACAAATATATGTTATGCAGAAACATAATACAAACAACTTTTTCCCGGGAGTCATCCCCAAATTCCCAATCAAACTCGAGTAAGAAATTAAAAACTTAAAAAAAAGGCAATATTATCATAATAATTTTAAAACTATTTTAAAATAGTTTTTTTTTCTTTAAGGTTTCTTATTTTTAAATCAAGATTGGTTGGGAATTCGGGTATGACTCCCAGACAAATGTTGTTTGTATCATTATTCTGCAAACCACACTTTTTTTTCAGATTTTTTGGATTCCTTTGTTTTTTTTTTTTGTTTTTTTTTTACGTACGTGTACGCACGATTTTGGGTTCGTAGTCATATGGACTACGTACGAGTACGGCGTGCTAGCCAGCACAATATATATACATATATACAGGGTTGCCGGCGTTCGGGACGGGCCGAACACCCAAACCCGAACGCCCGAACGTTTGGGACCCCCTCTCGACGCGTTCGGACGTTCGGCCGAACACGGAACCAAAAAAAAAAGAAAAACGTTTCCAAAAATTCTGAAAAAAAACTATGTCATGCAGAAGAATAAACTAAACAACATTTGCCTCAACAGTACATCCAAATTTGAACTAAAAATCAAATACGAAAAATAAATAATATTAATGAAAATACTAGCTTTCCCACCCTGGCGCCCGGGCCACCCGAGGTCGCCCGGAATGCCGCACGGGGCGCTCGGCCGTGCAACCCCCCCGGCCAAGCACCCGGGCCTTCTCAGCGCCGAACCAAAATCGGCCGTTGAAAAATTTTTTCGCGCCGCCACCCGTCGGCCCACAGGCCAAAAAATTTTTTGGCTGGCAGCGCACGATTTTTCGGGGCCCGGAAGGCCCCTTTTGAGAAGTTCTTTTTTTTTTTATCCTGGCCGTTGATCATCGGTGATCGACGGCGCACGATGCTCCCAGGATTCAAATTCGAATCCTGGGCCGGTCGGCCTCACCCCGTGCACCGCGCCCTCCGCCCTCCGCCCTCCACCCTACGCCCTCCGCCCTCCCGCCCTCCGCCACGCGCCAGTCGTCGTAGGTGTCTGCGTGATGCTGTCGTCCTGCTGCCGCCATCGTCGTCCTGCTGCCGCCAGCGTCGTCGTCCTGCTGCCGCCATCGTCGTCCTCCTGCAGCCGCCCCATCGTCGTCCTCCTGCCGCGCGCCATCCCCACAAGGTCTCCAACGTCGAGGTAAAGTTTCGTTTTTTTTTTCCTCTTCTTCTTCTTATTATTTTCTTTCTTCTTCTTATTCTTCTTCCTCTTCTTTCTTTTTCTTCTTCTTCTTCTTCTTCATTTCTTCTTTCTTCTTCTTCTTCTTCTTCTTCTTCTTCTTCTTCTTCTTTTCTTCGTCTTTTTCTTCTTCCTTTTCGTTTTCTCTTCTTCTTCTTCTTCTTCTTCGTTTCTTCTTTTTCTTCTTCTTCTTCTTCTTCTTCTTCTTCTTCTTCTTCTTCTTCTTCGTTTTCTTCTTCTTCTTCTTCGTTTCTTCTTCTTCTTCTTCTTCTTCTTCTTCTTCTTCTTCTTCGTTTCTTCTTCTTCTTCGTTTCTTCTTCTTCTTTTTCGTTTTTTGTTCTTCTTTTTCGTTTCTTGACAAATCTTTTTCTTCTTTTTCATTTCTTCTTTTTCATTTCTTCTTTTTGTTTCTTCTTCTTCTTTTTCGTTCCTTCTTCTTTTTCGTTCCTTCTTCTTCACTTCTTCTTCTTCTTCTTAGTTTCTTGTCCTTCGTGTTTTTCTTTTTCATTTCTTCTTTTTGTTCTTCATCTTTTTCGTTCCTTCTTCTTCTTCGTCTTCTTCTTCTTCTTCTCCTTCTTCTTCAGTGGCGCCCATCGCCTCCCTCTTTCCTCCAGTGGTGGCCATCGCCTCCCTCCTCCTCCCCACTCCATGAATTCCGCCCTCCCTCTTCTGCCGTAGGCCCCCACCACCCCTACGTGTACGGCCGCCATAGCCCCCCTCCTCCTCCCCTCTCCATGATGCCCGC